GATCGATATATATATATAAAAGGAAAGAAAGAAAGAAAGAACGGTCGATATATAAGATCACGTATTCAGTTGTGTGTGTCTTAAGCCAGTCATGCCTATCACAAAGTCACCTCCACATCACAAATAGCCAAGACGTCGAGCCCAGGGGATCTCCACCTCTTTTCCCGCAACCGGGCGGGCGGTGCAGCCACGAAGTGACCTCGATATTATACTTAAATTTGACCGGCAGTCATTAGTACCAGAGAGGCGAGAGTCCATCTGGTGGGCTTTGCTGCAGTGAATTAGAGGGTTCAGCACAGATGATTCGGGGGCGTTAGCCTCTTACATTACTTTTGGGAGGTGCTTTCACAGTCACACGAACGGATTTTGCAGATTTGTTGGATGGTGTAAGAGTCATCGTCCATGGATTCCAGCCTTGGCCCTGTGATTGATTCAACTGCATCTTATTGCGGACATGAGTGATGCGTTGTTTTTTTTTTTTTTTTTTAACCGGGCCCGGTGCCCAAGGCTGATATTACCAATAATAAGATTGAGGCCGGGGTCCTCACAGTCTGCCCGGAGTGATCGAACCGAAACTGCTGAGAACCGGGCTCAGCGTCCCTCAAATGGTTATGATGATGACCATGATGATACTGATGATACCATAGATAATGATGCTAATGAGAATAATGATTCAAATATATGTAAAAATATAGAAGATTATGCTATATCAGCTATTCTGGCCTCCTAATCCTAGTACAGCTCCTAGCCCTCCCTGTACCAGGACACTGTGCCTCAGAGACAAAACCAACCTAACCAACATCAACCATAGCTGATCTCTTCTCGCCTCCTTGCAGCCCCCCCTGGTTCACCACTGGAATGCCTTCCACCCTCAGCAAACCCCAGATCTCTCTACAAGGCCTCACACTCCTGCCATTTACAGGTTACAGGGCAACGCCCAAGATCCGGCCAGCGTCGTTCTGGCATCGGCAAACCAAGGGCACAGAACAGAGCAACTCAGTAGACATCAGTCCAGGTTCAACCATCTCTGAAGTCCTATATCCCGAATGNATGTTTTCGTTCTGGCATCGGCAAACCAAGGGCACAGAACAGAGCAACTCAGTAGACATCAGTCCAGGTTCAACCATCTCTGAAGTCCTATATCCTGAATGTTGAAGAATGCTAGATGCTGCCAAAATTTCAGAACACCAAAAAGCTTAATATAACAATAATCGGATGATGATATTAACGATGTGATGATGATGATGATGATGATGTTGATGATGATGATGATGATGATGATGATGAAAATATAGAAGACTATGTTATAACAGCACTTCTAGCCTCCTAGTCTTCGAAACCTCCCAGCCCTCCCTGCACCAGGACATTACATCTCAGAGACAATACCCTCATAACCAATGTCTACCATAGCTGACCTGCTCTCGCCACCTAGACTATCCCTGGCCCCATAGGTTGTCAAGGCAGCCCCCCCAGTTCGCCACTGGATTGCCTTCCTCCCTCGGCAAATCCCCAGATCTCTCTACAAGGCCTCACACTCCTGCCAATGCAGGTTACAGGGCAACACCCCAGCTCCGGCCAGTGTCGTTCTGGCATCGCCAAACCAGGGGCAAAGACAAAGCAACTCTGTAGATATCGGTCCAGAATCGACCATCTCTAAAATCCTATATCCCGATTAAGAAAGGAGGCCAGATACAGCCGAGAATTACAGCACACCAGAAAACATGATATAACATGGATGATGATGATGATGATGATGATGATTTTGATGATGATTTTGATGATGAGATGATTCAGAAAAAATCCCCCCTCTCCCTTCCTTCCTCCATTCTCTCCATTCCCCTATCTATCCCTTTACCCTAATCTGCCCCCGCTGGGATTTGATGCCCAGCCCCAGAAAAGAGTATTCCTCACAATATGCCCGTACCCCCTCCAGAGTTTCAGCACCCGCCTAATGAAACCCCTGCGGGGCTGGGCTCTCCCCCTCCCCCTCGCCAAAATGTCATTCGCTTGGACAGCACCCTGAAGATAATGATAATGTGGATGATGATGACGATCCACTCACCTGCTGATGCGAAAGGCGAACGATGCCTTGAAGAGCAAACTCTAATGATAACAAACTAATAATGATGATAATAATCATCATAATGATGATAATAATGTTGATGATGTCGATGATGATGATGATGATGATGAAGACACACCAATGATGATGCTCATAATGATAATGATGATGATGATGATGTCAGTGATGATGATGATGATGATGATGATGATGATGATGATGATGACGCACCAATGAAGATGCTCATAATGATGATGGTGATGTCAGTAAAGCTGCTGCTGCTGCTGCTGCTGCTGCTGATGATGATGATGATGACGCATGATAGCCATACCCACTCCGCTGGGCCCAAAGGAAGCTCTGATTGAAAAGCACGTCAAACTCCATACTGATGATAATGATGATGACGATGATGATGATGATGATGATGATGAAGATGAAGATGATGATGATGATGGTGATGATAATGGTGATGATGATAACCGCCGATGATAATGATGATGATAATGATGATGATGATGATGATGATGATGATGACAGCGATGATAAAACCGAAGATGTTGATGATGAATGAAAAATTACCGCCGTTATCCCTACATGATGAAAAATGTCGATGATGATAATGATGAAGATTACCGCCGTTGGCAACGCAGTACGAGTGAAGGCCGACGACAAATCCACCAGGACACTGAAACTGAAAGCTGGCCAGAATCGAAGAGAACGTCCCAACCCATGAAGCAAAGTATCCTCAGTCACACTGAGGTTTCCAGCGCCTGAAGGTTCGCGCCATGAAGCAGAAGCACCAAACCCCCTTCTCTACCTGCGCCAGCCTGTGACGCCAGGAGATCAGCACGAAACAGAACAAAAGACCATCGCCTCTCCCTCCTCTCTGTCAACTAGAGACGCCACCATCCCCCTTGTAGAGTAGCAGCGCTCAACGTCCGTGTCTCTGTGATGTCACCTTCCTCATTTTCCGTAGCTGCGCACTCCACCCGGCAGCGCACCGCCCACTAGCAGCATTCCACCTGGCAGCGCACCGCCCGCTAGCGGCACTCCACCTGGCAGCGCACCGCCCGCTAGCAGCGCTCCACCTGGCACACGCATCGGTACACTACCACGTCGCCCACTCGCCGCGCGCTTTCCTCCATAGCTTGCTTGGCGCCGGCGCTGCTCCCCCGGTAGCGCAGCGCCGGCGCCTCATGCTTCTCATAGGTATTTCTCACATGAGTGATGCGTTACTACTGCTTGAGTGAGTGAATGGGGGCTGCTCTGTGATTGATTCAATTTACTTTTTTTTTTTTTTTTTTCTTACTTTTCTCTGACTGCGGCCATAGATTTGCCTCCGTGAATGGTCCATGTCAGCACCAGAGCTTTGGCTCGGCAGTGCCTACATCAGGACCCCTCCCAAGAGGTTCACTCAGGCAAGAGCAGTCTAATAGATCAGTGCACTATATATATATATATATATCTGTTTGTGACGATATATATATATATATATATATATCGTCAAATAGAACTGCCCTGTAAACCGTAGGCAGAGAGGGAGAAGAGGACAACAAACGAGGTGTTTGTGACGATATATACCGGGCAGTTCTGTTTGTGACGATATATATATATATACATATATTGTCAAATATATATATATATATATATAGAGAGAGAGAGAGAGAGAGAGAGAGAGAGAGAGAGAGAGAGAGAGAGCTTGTTTCACGTCCGTTGTACACCATGCTGTTGACGACTACTTTTTTTTTCTTTTTTTTCTTTTTGCAGGTCGATATCAGAGAAACAGTGGAGCATGTGCTACAGGTCGTTCGGCCTTTTCTGGACTGGAAGGTTATGGTAAGCAGCTGTAACCCTTGTTGTCATTTAGTAATGCCCCACTCCCCTTCCCCCACCCCATCCCTTTCCTTTCTTATTTGAGAGCATACTCGCACATGGACCTCAGGCCTCACAATGTAGGGGTTTGACAGAACGGTTAGTGTGTAAGGGGTATATTGCATGGATGGGTATTTGCAGTATGCACGCATTCCAGCAGCATGGGTTTAGGGGTTCAGCCTTTTAGGGGTTTAATGCTCCCTCCTTCGGGGTCGTCTGCAGCTAGAGGGGTTCCCTTTGTTGAGTTCTTGGGGGCCGATGCAGGCCCAGTGGCCGTTCCTCTAGGCCAGGTTCAGTTGGGCGCCAGATTGTTTCCCTTTCAGGTTCAGTTTGGGTGCCACTCCTTTTCCCTAGGTTCAGTACGGGCACCACTCCATTCGAGTGTATCTGGAAGCATTCTGGGGGCCGATGCAGGCCAGTGCCCGTTCCTCTAGGCCAGGTTCAGTGGGCGCCAGTTGCTTTCCTTGCAGGTCCAGTTTGGGCGCCACTCCTTTTCCCTTCGTTGTCCTGTAGTGAGGTCTTGGGCGCCAGTTTGCTTCCAGATTTGGGCGCCACTCCTTTCTGAGGCCGATTAACAGTAGGCCCAGCGTTACATATAGCTAGCTGGGCCTGCCTCATTCTCGGCAGGTAGTCTTTGGAGGTTGAGGTCCTACACTGCTGGAGCAGCACTGGTTCAGTAGAGGAGTAGGTTACAGGTAGAGTGCGCGGAGATTCAGGGCGGCCAGAGATACGGGACTCACCGGCTGGACTTACCTGGCGCCATAGCTTCAGCTTGTCTTCAGGCGACTCCCACCTGCATCACAGCTCCAAGGCAGCACCTTTACGTTGGTCAGTATACTAGGGCTCCGCCATAGAGAGAGATTGAGAGGGGTCTGTTTTCGTCGTCTTCCTCTCTCCCTCCAATGGGCTTCCATCTCCACTCCTTCCTCCTGCCTCCCTCTGATTATTTTTCTTCTTCTTCTTCTTCTTCTTCTTCTTCTTCTTCTTCTTCTTCTTCTTCTTCTATGGGAGAGAGAAGAGAGAGTTCATGGGAGTTGAGACTTGGTGACACTGGGCGATTGCCCCGCCTTGGACATTGTATCTGGACAGAGACGTTGGGGTTATTTTTGGGGGATGACATTCTGCGACACTATTTGGTTGACGACATCTCATCTCCTCCTTCCGCTTCATCTCTTCTCACTCCTCCTCATCTGTGGATGTTGTTTTGGCACGGCGCTCTTCGTCCATGTGTGCAGCGTCCTGCCTTCCCACCCTATTGATGATGATGAGAGAATCGCAGTCAGTCTGAGCGGAGTCGAGTCGAGTCAGATCTGTGTGTATCAGTCTTCCGCTGCTTTTGTTTTGCTCATTCTCTTTGGTCGTTCCTTGTTTTTTGTGCCATGCCCATCTGCTTATCTCCGGGCATGCGACAGTATTGTTGAAGTTCTTAAAAATCTCAAGGTGTGAAGGAAAGGGTCCAGTGCATAGGGGAGATTTATTTGAGGAAAATAATGAGGCAAAGGGTGAAATGCATTGGGAGGGAGAGCAGGTGGGGGGGGGGGGTTCATCCTTGACACCCTCAAATTTACAGGGTTGAGGAAAGGGACAGAGGGAGGGAGGTGTTGTCCTCAAAACCCCGAAAAATGAGTGGCTGGGGTTATGGGACATAGTCGCACTACATGTGTGTAAGGACTGTGACAGCTTGTACTGGGGTTCAGGGTTGTACCTATCACCCCAACTCATCAGGAGGCTGAACCCTCCTCACCTGTCTGCAGAATCCCCTGAGATGACAACGGGGGATCAAAGCAGTCACTCAAAGCGCCATTAGGTCATTCTCCATACTGTTCAGCCTCCTGACGAGTCGGTGAGAATCTGACGAGACAGTCCGTCCTTAACTCCATGTGTCCTCATTAAATTGTGTTGTTCTTGTACCCCATGTCATCCGTCTGATGTCTGGTTGTCTTGGTTGAGTACACATCTTGAGACCCTTTGGGTCTTATGCTGAATAGTGCACTGGGGTGGCAAGCTTTGGAATGCATGTGTGGAAGTTCGTGTCGAATGTCTACCCTGAGGGAATAGATGTCTTGCTCTGAACCTTGGTTGCTGGAATTACAACACAAGCATCATCACACAGACAAACACATACACACATTCACATCATCTGTTTGTTTTTGTTTGTTCTGTCTTCCCTGTGCTCCTCTCAGTGTCCAAGAGCAGCACCTTCGAGATGTGCCAAATAGTCAGCGGCAGTTAGTATGGAGTGTCTGCAACAGTATTAGGGGGACTGGTGTGTTGGGGATGCCTGTGTCTCTGTGTTTCCTGGTGGCGACAGACAAAATGTCTTGTGGATCCCTGGTGCTTGATGGTGGCCTGCGCCTACGGTCTGCAGAGTTTTCAATATGATGTGGGTAGGTGATAGTCCACTTTGGTCCCCACTGAACCCATGGGCCTCTGTTTAGTAGCTTCCTTGCTAACCCTGTTGCTGCCTGCTTTGGCATCTTGCCGGCAGACCTTGCTGTGTGCCGCGCTCCCCCACCCGCTTGCCCAGCTCCTTGCCCTCCTATATGCACACCTAGGGCATACGATCTTGTGTGCCTTGTTGTGTGGCTGTCTGCCTGTCCCCTCGCCCGCCTGCCTGCCCACTTGCCTAGCTATTTGTTGCATAGAGAGAGTACCATACTGCAATCCCTGCTGTGTTGCTGTGTACCTCCCCCCCCCCTCCCTGCCCACCTGCTATGCCCAGGGGCTGCAATAAATTGCCTTGCCCAGGCTGCCGTGCAAGCGTTGCGGTGTTTGGCCATTTGCAACAAGGTCTGAAGAAGGTTATGATTCAAAGCATTATCAGGGGATTCTGCAGCCTGTCGGGGTTCAGCCTCCTGTTTAGTCACGAGAAGCCTCTTGTTTTTCCTTCCTTTGTGTACCTTCGCTTACGTTGTGTTTTTGCCTGCTCACCCAACCTATGTGCTATACTATCCTTTTTCTATCTCTATACATATAAAGGAAAACGCGGGTCTCGCGTGACGGACCCACGGGAGACCCGGTTCCCTTGTGGGAGTCCGCGTGCCGGTTCCACGGGCGGAGTACCAGCGGTTTGTAGAACCGCGCGACGGTTGGCCGGAATTTTTTTTTTGTTTTTTCCCCGGTTCCACGGGTGGAGTACCTGCGGTTTGTGGAACCGCGTGACGCTTGCCTGTTCAAAAAAAAAATTTCTTTCCGTCCGCTTGGCCGTTCAAAAGTTTTTGTTGTTTGCGTCGCAAGCGGTTTGTCGAATAGCGCGGCGGGTTTCAGAAGCGGTGAGTACCAGGTAGTGTATATTTCCATGTTCTAGCCGAAGATTCATTGGATGTTGCTCGTCCTATCGATGGAAGTAGGATGGCGGGAGCCGCGAGGTCGGATCGTCTCTCTCTCTCTCTCTCTCTCTCTCTCTCTCTCTCTCTCTCTCTCTCTCTCTCTCTCTCTCTCTCTCT